GGTTGCTTGGCGACTGGCCATGGTAGCAATAATGTCTGGACGAAACGCTTTTGATTGCCTAGTGAGGGGGGTGGGTGGTCAAACAGTTTAATCGCAATGGCTTCAGTCGTTCATAGAAGGATGGAGTGTACAGATTTAGATGATAACGGTGGAATACGATTAACGGTTCTGAACGGTCGTTTTACGTCCACTTGGTGATTACTTTCTAGTAGGTGTTGGCATATCGCGCTTCTCGCTGTCCTCGTTTCTCCATATGCTAACCATCGAGGGTAGTGTTCCTTTATTCTCTTTGACATTTGTCTTGTTTTCCGGCCTATGTAGCTCGCAGGATTACCAAATTAGTTCTTACTTGAATGTTCCCCCACATACCTCCCCCTTACAGTGTATCATTGATTAGGGGATTAACCTCTTGCTGTAAATCACTTGATGTGTAGTAAAAAAGCACTGGGGGTCTTCAGCTGCTCCCCATGCGAAAGCCTTGCTGAACTGGATAAAGAGCACGTTCGTTTCGTGGCCCCTTACTGTTTTACCACCACCGAGATTGCACTGTTTAGGATGAATGCAGTAAGTTTTTCCGTGTTCATTTAGTAAGCGATCATAAAATTTGCTACGATGTTCAATTAACGACTTGGTAATTTTGGTATTTTCAGGCATAACTTTTGTCACTATCGAACTCTAAATGGAACCGTGGCAACTTTCGTACGAGGGTAAGCTGAAAGAGTTGTGTCAGCTTATTGAAGCTGATGTGAAAATTTTGCACAAAACGGATAAAGTGAGAAAATGATTTGACATACTATTTGAATGCGCACAGACTGGTCGCAATTTGTTGCATTGGGCAGCATGCGGTGGTCATTTAGAACTGTGCAAACTTCTTCTTTCCAAGGGTTTGGACAAAGACTCTCGTGATGAGGTGAGTCCTCTCCATTGATCATTTTTCGTTTATCTTCAAGTGCGCGCTACCAGGAACCTCTCCACATGTACTTGTAATTTGCTAATTTTGGTAGGATGTCATGCAATACTTAGACGTTAAACACGAGGATGTTACAACGGGTAGTCGAGGCTAAGCGAAACTTGGTGAAACGATCTTCAGCAATTATTGTCATCGCATAGGGTGTCTAAAAATCCCATGAAAATCCTCAAACCAGTAAGTGGAAGTAAACTAGTGTAGGTTCACGCTTTATTAAGCACCGTCACTATCGTGCAACGCGGTCTAAGGTTCGGGCTTGTACTCTATCACTAAAGATCCAATGGTATGTGTAAGGTCAATGGTTAGAGACCAGATATATCTCAGCCTCACAAAGTCAGCTGACGGGGCACCTGCTGGCTCCCTCTGACTATCCACTCTAACCTATGAAGAGGTTTCCAGCAAATAAATGCGGGAGGGACAGTTTACTGTTCTCGAAGATCTGGGAAACCGAAAGTGTACTCCACATATGGGGAGAATAGATTGTCACATCCATCTAAAAGAAGAGCCGTCGCAACGCTCGTTCCAACCACAGGGGCATAAGTCTGATTCCAATAGCGCCGAAGCTACTAGCGTTTGTTTTATTACGCAGATTAAGCCCATTTTGTGAGAGGCAAATCTGCGAGGAGCAGGCCGGGTTTCATGCGCACCGTGGTTGCATAGATCAAATCTTCACTCCCTGTCAACTACTAGAACACCGCCCCGCATACAGGCAATATCGGACATCGCAGCGGCCTTCGACTCTATCGATCGCCCAGCACCGCGGAACTGTTTGCGGAGATACGGAGTACCTGAGGAGTATGTTCTGCTTCTGAAAGCACTCCACCGCCAGACCTAGGGAAAGGTTATTTCATATGGTGAACTTTCACCCCCATTTCCTGTCACCAGTGGGGTACGACAGGGTTGCCCTATCTCTCCGTTTCTCTTCAACTTTGCCATAGATGATGTTCTACAAAACGCAGTACATAACGTAACGAACACTGCCATCGAGCTTTATCCTGGAGACAGAATCGTGGAATTAGAGTATGCCAATGATTCGGTCTTACTCGGTGACAACGCACCAACGATTCAAGATTTGTTGAATCGTTTATTAGTTGAGGTTACTCAATATGGTGTGTTCTTTGCATCTTCAAAGTGCAAGGTGTTGCAAGATTGGCAGGAACCCGTTCCTGCACTTTCGTTGGGCAACCACACTATGGAAACAGTCTAAAGCTATGTCTACCTCGGGTTTTGTATGACTGCTTGTGTGGGTGTGGGCGAGGAGATCTGTCAACGCGTGATCAAAGCTAGATTAGCATTTGCTAATCTGCGGCGTCTCTGGCGCCGGCGCGACATTCTTTTCACTGAAAGGGCGTGTATCGCGCAACGACACGCACGGTGTTGCTCTATGGCCTTTCCGAGCAGATCATGTCCAACGACTATCCGTATTCGATAACCGTTTTCTGCGCAGCGTCGCCCGCGTATGGTAGGAGCATCGCGTAAATAACGATGAGGTCAGACGACGTGTTAGGATCATATAGTATTCCAACGAGCAAGACCATTTCGTCTTTGGTGGCTAGGGCACGTCCTACGAATGCCTGAGCAACGTCTGCCACACTGCACTATTCGCAGACATCCGTCCGGGCTCGAAGAAACAGCGAGATGAGCAGGCTATGACGTGGCGCAGATTGTTAAAGAGTTTGTGCTCGTATTTGGCCTCCCTTGGGGCTTCCCGGATCCAAAGATTTAGCTTGTCTTTGGCTTGAAACACTGCGGGATATGGCATCGAACTGAATTCAGTGGCGTGAGTGCATCCTTTCTAGTATGAAATCCCAAAATTAAACAAAAGCAAAACTCAAAATGGCTTCAAGTAAAGAAACAAAAAAAATTGTTATTCCCCAAGTTGACTGTTTTTGTTTCCTCCCTTCTGTTTCTATATTTTGCATTATTTTGGTACCCTATCTGTAAAGGTTGATATTAAAATATAAATATAATATAATAGGGACAGTTTACCGGTCAAAAAATCCTCTAGGTGGNCTAGGTGGACGTAGGAGCGGAGTTTCTGTGGCTTCCCCCTGACGTTGGGATTAGTCTCTACATGTCATTGGACAGCTACTGCTGGGCAGCTCCTAGCCAATGAAGTACTGTCCCGTCCACGTTCCACTTGTTTCATTAGGTGCATGCTACTGAGGGCTCATCCCGAATATCGGACCGTCAATCAAGGCACCACCAAGCAGTACACCAAATCACAACCCGAAGGCCTTTTGTATCAGGTCTCTAGAAGCTCCAGCGTTGGATCTACTCCTCATCGCCTTGTAGGTCAGAGTTTTGAGTTGAAGGCCCCAGTCAAGGTACCCAAAGAAAAAAGGCTTTCGTCAGTGTGGACTATCGTGAAGTATGTCGTACCGTAAAGTTTGAGGCACCCATTTGTAAAATCCTCTTTCTCATCTGTCTAGTTATTCCTCTCACTCCCAAATCGTACGAGATGCCTCCTGTTTACGCCACCCAAGCAATCCCAGAAAACTGAACGGACAGCGAAGATCCCCTGCTTCAACGCTGCGCGGACCATGGATTGTTTCTATTGAGCAACAACTTCTCCCACAAGAAAAGACACCGCTTCACATAGAAACCCCGTATATCCCCGCAACGATGGACTCGAATCGACTAAATCGCCATCGACCACCGCTGGCTAGGATCCATCACAGACTACGAATCTTACTGCTCAGTACCCATTGACACAGACCACGCTTTGTTACTAACCAGGTTCTCACTACGCCTGGTAGACAACTGCAAAAACCCACAATACAGTGTCAGCGGTAGTTCCAAATTGGCCTCCAAAGCAGCACCCTCTGATCGTCTCTCAGTTCACCCAACCACCAAAGTACTCAGTGAACGTTGGTCGGTAATCAAGAAAGTCTTCTAAATGTCGATCAAAACAGCGAGGGATTCTGGTGCGCGATCAGAACGCAAACGGTGGATCTCATCGATCTCGGCCATCTTGCTGGTAGTCTTCGTGATACCAAAGATGACAGCTCGCAAATCCCTTAAACACCAATCCATCTGGGGGAATGACTGCGAGGAGTAATAAGAAGCAAAATCAAGAGAGATGAAGAAAGCTGCGGCTATTGGTGATAATCGCAATCTTTTTTGTTTAACTAGGAGTACAGACACAAGAAAAATAGACGTAATCGGGAGTGTGACGACACAGTAATCCGTGCTGAGCAACATCGTATTGAGCTATGAACAGAACATTTTAAGGCACAGTTCAGCTGGTTCGCATCGACACTAGACCTCCTAATTCCTTTTTTCATTACACAATGAATGACAGTAAAAAGGGAAATCCCCATGGACAAATAGCATACTGTAAAAGGGAGAGTAGGGGAACATTCACGTAAGATCCAGTTTATTGATTCTGCATTCAAAACATGTAAGGTTAAGTTGGCGGGAAACAGCAAGTGCGAGGATGTTCCACAGTTTGGCAGTTCGGGAAAAAGAAGATTGGAGCAGAGAGGTACGAGATCTGGTAACAGAAACTTGATAAGGATGACTAGATGCCTGTATGCGGCATGGGCGGGTAAAAGTTACAGGAAGAGAAACTGCCGAGGCATGTTCCGAAGAACAAAAAATAATCTAGTAGCGGTAGAACAGGGATAATGAAGCAACTGCCCGACGATGGGCTAGCGACTGCAGACTGGATGTTAGGGAAGGATCATCGATTAGCCGGATGGCCTTTTGTTGAACACGATCAAGAAGGGAAAGGGAAAAAGACAAAGCCCCACACTACGCGTCATAACAGTATTCAACAGCAGGGCGGATTTGAGCTTTGTACAATAGAAGAAGATGAGCTGGGATGAAAGAACGTCTGGCGCGAAATAGAAATCCAACCTTGCACGCAGCATGAGGAGCAGGCTCAGCTATAAAAGGCGACCAGCATAAAGAAATCATAGGACGTCCAAGAAGGGAATCAGTCTGGAACGCATTTAGATGGAATTTAAAGATAAATTGGGGGAGAATGATTGATGTCTTAAAGAAGTTGAAACAAGAGAGGTTATAGAACTATTGAATGAAACGTGTTTTGCAATGCCCCAAAAGTATATGTGTTCGAGATCGGAGTCCAGTGACACATTAACTACACTACGGTCACCATTGCTGTTGGTTTGAGCAAAGCGAGCAGTGCGTTGGAAGGAGAAGCAGTGGAGGGTGGCATTAACAGTGCTCTTTGAAATCAAATGAATTTGCG